GCTCCCAAAGGATTTAATTAGATACTAAGGGAATCCATTCCCCCAACTTGTTTCCTGATTTCATTTCATAATGTCCCAAGCCTTTGCTGTTGCCAAGATGCACTGGCTTACTGCCAAAGAAGATGGGCTCTTATCTGAGTTAGCTCTGCCACCTACAGCACACAGCCCATCAAAGCCACTACGTCTTTGCAGCAGAGAAGCCTCATTTGCATACATGAATAAGGGGAGGGCTGCCTCTCCAGCCCCGAACTCTCCACTGGAAAAAAAAAAAAAAATGGCTTTGGAGATTCTTGATTAGCATTCAGAGATGCAAGCTCCTTTGGGGTGGGTTACAGTGATGGGAAGATATTTTTTACATTAAAGGGAAAGGGATACATTTTGAGGATTAGCATCTGAAAAAGAAATGTTGCTGAAAACACAGAGAGGAAAAACACTGCAAAAAAGGAAAAGGCAATGAGCTCATGGGTCCTCACAACAGGTGTAACTCTCCCATTTCATAGCAAGCCCAAGGCTGACAGTCCTTTCCAGGTCCAAACAGGTCATCCCCGCCGTCTATTTGTCATACAATAAAAAATACTTGTTTCGGAAGAATGCGATTTCCTGAGACACTAGAACTTTAAACACAGGATAGTTTATTAATATACTTAAAGCATTTTTAAGGGTGCTCTCTACAGGCAGAGATTGTGTTATTCTCATTTTTGCGTGCCCAGCACCACGCGGAATGCTTAATACTTAGGAGGAAACTCAATAAATGTTTGTTGATGTAAAGTAATAGAAATGTAGTTTGTTTTGCAATCTATGTGTGCTTGCTAATATATAATCATAATATCTACAGATTATTAAATAGTCATGAATTAGACATATTAACTCAGAGTCTCACAACAATATATCAGATGGGTATTGTTTTGCAGGTGAAACTGAAAGCCAGTGTTTTTAAGTAGTTTACCCAAGGATGCATACCTAGTGACAGTCAAAATCCACACTTAGACTTCTTAGCTTGTAAATCCATATTTTTTCCACTCCACCCATGTATTTTATCTCCATTGTAAGCTCATTTACAATGAGTGGTAAATGAACCAAATGAAAATAATTTGAAAATGTTGAAAACATTTTTAACTTTTTAAAATAAATACTAAAAAAAAAAAAATACTGTAAAATGTTTCCCAGTAATTAGGATTTCTCTGAAGTTTTTCTTACCATTCTTGCTTAAGAATAGATGCAAATAACTTCTGATCCTGTGTGGATCTAACAGTGGTTCTTCTTTGAGGGATAACTCACTCTTAAATCTACTTGCATAGATAATTGTGGAAGTTTTCACTCCTTTTGGTCTGGTGAGCCCTGATGGCTTGGAAAAGCAATGTATACTCTGTAACTCAGCCAAGCATCCTCTTTACAATTTTTATTTTAGATTCAGGGGGCCCGTGTGCAGGTTTGTTACACAAATATGTTATATGATGCTGAGGTTTGGGCTTCTATTGATACTGTCACTCAAATAGTGAACATACTACCAGATAGGTAGTTTTTCAACCCTCCCTCCTGCTTTTGGAGTCCCCAATGTCAGTTGTTCCCATCTTTGTGCCCATATATACCCAAATGTTTAGCTCTCTATTATAAGTGAGAATATGCAGTATTTGCTTTTCTGTTTCTGTGTTAAGTCATTTAGGATCATAGGCTCCAGCTGCATCCATGTTGCTACAAAGGACATGATTCTGTTCTTTTTTATGGCTGTGTAGTATTCTGCGGTGAATGTATACCACATTTTCTTTATCCATTCCACCATTGATGACCACTTGGGTTGATTCCATGTCTTCGCTATTGTGAGTGGTACTGCAATGAATATATGAGTGAAGGTGTCCTTTTGGAAGAAGGATTTATTTTTATTTGGGGATATACCCTGTAGTGAGATCAACAAGGCATTCTTAACAGAGGATTGCACATGTAGAATCTTCATGATGTTGGAATATGGAGTTAACTGTACAGTAATCTTGCCTTTTTCATAGGTGTTCCCATATTAACACTTCAGATTTCAAAAAGGACATCAAAGTAACCAAGACTGAATATCCCATAACTAACTCAGGTCTCATTACTTTACAGCCTGATTGACTAGGGTTGGTGTCTTGGTCCCTATGGTACACATGTTCCTTGTGTTGTTCAGGCTTTGAAATCTTATTGTCTTCCAGAGAAATCACAAATGAAAGGAAAGTGCAGTTAGCCTTTAAATGGGGTGAGCGGTTTAAGCAAGCTTAGTTCATTAATAGGGACAAACAACTGAAGAATCTTTCTAGGTAAAGGTAATTATCATGCTTAGACTTAAGAAGGAAGGAAGAGAACATGAGAAGGTGGGAGGGAGTGAGAAGAGAATTGATTTAGAACTAGACACCACGGGAGGTTTGTGCATGTCTTGCTGTCCTATTATCTATTCTAAAGCCCTGGATGTATAGGGTAGTGGACCTCAAATTCTAGTCATGTTTGTCAGAATTATATGAGGCATAGGGATACAAAAGTGTGATTCCTTCTCTTACCTATCATAAAGATCTCTCCTATAACAAAAGACAAGTTAACAAGAGAAAAGTATAACATATTTATTGAATCAAAGTTTTGTTTGTTTGTTTGTTTGTTTTTCCCAAGACAGAGTCTTGCTGTGTTGCCCAGGCTGGAGTGCAGTGGCACAATCTTGGCTCACTGCAACCTCCACCTCCCTGGTTCAAGTGATTCTCCTGCCTCAGCCTCCAGAGTAGCTGGTACTACAGGCGCATGCCACCATGCCTAATTTTTTTCTACTTTTAGTAGAGATGGGTTTTCACCATGTTAGCCAGGATGGTCTCAATCTCCTGACCTCGTGATCCACCCACCTCATCCTCCTAAAGTGCTGGGATTACAGACATGAGCCACTGCACCCGGCCTGAATCAAAGTTTTACATGACACAGGAGCCTCCAGAATGAATACCCAAAGATACAGTAAAAATGATTCATTTTTATGTTTAGGCTCCATGAGGAGTGGACAACTGTATTGGACTGTGACTGGGCAAAAAGTGTATGACCTAATGAGAATAATTGAGTGGGGAAACCCAGCAGGTCCTGTCTGTTCAGATTCTTCTTTGTCTCTCTGTTCAGCACTCCTTCCTCCTGGGTGTGGGACAGGATTCCTGCTGGAATGGGGGTCTTATGACCTACTGCCAAAGCAGATCACAGAATTTCTTTATGGCCAGCTCTTACACAGAAAGGCAGGGGAAAGTTAGAATGATATGTCTAGTTTTCTGTCTACCTTTGGCGAAGAGAGGTCCTGATTTCTATTCCATCCTTGGGGAAGAGGGATTCTAGTTTCTATGGCTTGCTGTGGGGGAGAATGAGGGACAGGAGAGAGTAGGGCAGGAGAAAGTCAAAGACAAACTTGCTTTATACAGAGGCCTTCACTTAGGGATATCATTTTCTGAGCCCCAACAGGGATATGTACATTTGGAGCTCCACCTCAAGACCCAGTGAAACAGAAGTGGCATAGCCCAGAAATCTGAATTTTTAACAGTTAGCCCATTTGATTCTGAAGGAAGTGTTCCTTAGACGATGCTTTGAGAAACATCAGCATAGAAAGATCCTTCAGACTTTTTAAGAATCACTCTTTAAATGCAACTATTCATTTGCGTTGAACTAGGAACACAGAGATAAAAGGCATAGTCTCAGCCTTCGAAGAATTCATGGCCTAGTGGTAAAGGCAGACTGAGAAGCAGATGGTTTCGTGCATGAATGAGTGAGTCTATACAGCAGAAGGGGCTGTGCGCTATGGAGAACTGAAGAGGCACGGAGCTCAGCCTATGTGGGGAGAGGTGCACATCTGAGAGGAAAGCTTAACAGACATGACTATGTTTTCAAGGATGAGTGAGCACTGGCCAGGAGGAAGGGAGAGAAGAATTCCAGTTAGAGAGAGCTCAGTGGACAAAAAGCTCCGTGTCCTCTAGGGACATGTTCAAGATGAGAGATGGCATAAGAAGAGGGGCTAATAAGAAAGGTAGGCTGATGATGCTGAAGACTGCACATCTGTCTTTCATAATAAAGTGATGCTTTTTCACAGAACAAGGTGCATGGCTAGTATTTATATCATTGTAATTGCTATAGTGATTAATGTATAATTCCAAATGATGGTCCCTGTCCTCATAGGTGCAGTACTCTCATTGCAATGGTATTCTGATCAGCTTCCAATTGAGAAGGAATTCGGAAAAGTTCAAGGCAATCCTAAATGGTTTTATCTTCTTGTTTCCCTCATTAATCTTTGTCATCAGATGTCTTAGACCAAAGTCAGGCTGAAAAAAAACTCACCAAAGCAGAGAACAAAGTGGCTGTATGCAGAACCTCTCCCACATTGAATGAATGCTGACATATGTTATTTACAGTATCATCATGTATAAAATACAAATGAGTGCATGAATAAAAATAAAATAACATTCACCATCCACCTTTCTAAGAGTTAAGATCAAAAAGTGCCTGTAGTTGCCACTCTGTGCTCCAGTTTAAAAGATGGATTTCACTACCAATCTGCATGAACTAGCATTGTAACTCACAGCACGTGGTTATACAAACAAGAACAGAAACCAGAGTAGAAACTGAAACGTGCTGAAAGAAGAGTTTTTTGTTCGTTCGTTCATCTGTTTGTTTTTCTTAACCAGAGAGAGTTATTTGAATTCACAATAGAGCTACATATATTCACCCCATTATCTGTACCTATGTGTGTGTGTGCGTATGTGTGTGCGTGCACGCATGTGTGTGTACGTGTGTGTGCATGTGCGTGTGTGTGGGTGTATCACATTCAGCTATAATATCATATTATAAATGATACTAAATTAAATAGATATAATTGTTTTTATATTTCTTTTTCCTCACATAAAGAAAATCAAAACCAGGAAAAAAATTATCCTTAAAGCTCTCTACTTGATTCCAGCTGTTAACATTATTTATTGTAATTCATATTATAAAGTAGTGAAATGCCAATGTCTTTGAACTTCTTGCAGTTGTGTGTAATATTGGAGCCAATGCAGGAACTGATGTCGAGACATAAAACCTACAACCTCAGTCCCCGAGACTGCCTGAAGACCTGCTTGTTTCAGAAGTGGCAGCGGATGGTGGCTCCGCCAGGTACACCCCACCCTCATTCTTCGCTCTGTCTCTCTCTAAATAGGTTTTCAGAGGTGTCTTCCAGGGAGGAAGTGATGTGAAAATGAAGAAGGTGATTATAAATGTATCAGGACAAGTAGCTTATCAGGGATATTCTGACCTTGATTGTGGACATAGACACATTGAATTTGTGACAAGCAAACATCCTTAAGAATTTTCTTCAGTCCCCTCGCTTATCAGATTAGGACCTGCAACTCAGAGAGTTAAAATGATGTGTTCAAGGTCATCAAGAAGGTCATTGGCAGAGTTGAGATCAGAGCCAGAGGTTCCTGTCTCCCAATCCAGTGGTTCTTCCACTGAGCCAGACTGCTGGTTTCTCATGGCCTAATGTGTTAGGTTTTTCTTTTTTAAGAATGATAGAAATTATGAAAATGAAGGAAGAAAGGGAAGATAAGGAGGAAAGAAAGAACAAAAAGAAGAGATGGAAAGAAGGAAGGAAGAAAGGAACAAAAGAATAAATGAAGAAAGGAGGAAAGGAATGAAGGAAAAATGAAGTTTGCTCTATTTTTAAAGATATATTGTATCAAAAGTAACTCTGATCATGAAGAGAATACATAAACGATTCCATTTCCCTCACTTCCCTAGAATGCAGTTTAGATACTATAGTCTCCTGCTGGGGATCTGAAATTGCCGCTTCAAGTCATCGTTAATTGTCTTCCTATCTAACACATTTTCACTCCCAGGCGTGTGCTGAGCCTCATTGATCATAAAAGCAAAATGTATCCATTCGCTAAAAATTATTTTTATAAAGAGTAATTATTAACACGAGGCACATAGCTTTCTGAATCACAAAATATAATGGTCACCTTCGGCTGGTAATTGGCCAGGGGTTTTATATAAAATGAATACAGCAAATTTAATCAAATACATATTTAGAAAGCTGAGAAAATAAGTGTTATTTTATGTAGAATAGCTACATCACCATCTTATGGGAATTTTAGACTTTTAGAATATTATTTTTCAAATATAGTAAATGTGCTTAAATTGGCTTTATTTTTTCTTTTTATGCTAATAAGACTATATGGGAAAAAAGTACTTCACTCACCAAATGCTCTTAGCACCTATATTTTCCAACATAGGCATATATAATTAATTTATTATTCATTAATTCCTTCATTCATTCAACAATTATTTATTTAGAGTTTTACTAGGCTCCAGACATGGTTCTAGCCACTGGGGAGGTACAACACTGAATGAAACATTCAGAAATATTGAATCCTTACCGTAACTTTATATGTATTATCCTCATTTTATGTAGTGAGCTCTGAGACTTAAGGTAGTAATTTGGTATAGCCAGTCTCATGGCTAACAAATGAAGGACTGTGTCACAAAAAGATTTTTATGTCTCCAAAGTCCCTGATTTTACTACCACAGCCATCTACTGGTAATGGAAATGTCCAGAATAGGCATTTTAGGGATTCCCAAGTTGAGAAGAAATACACATGATTTAAACAGATGTTACAAGGCCCTTTTATTTGGTGCCGGTGTAGCCCTGGCTTGCCTGCTCTCCATCACAGTCAGTGTAAAATAGAGTTAGAAAAAAGGATGCTGTTACTTGCCATGTCCAACTTATTCTGTAACTGCCAGGAGAAGCCTCTGAAACTTTCTCCTTTACAAAATAGAGATTAAAATAATAGTTCCTGACAATAGGATTTTTGAATACCAATAGTTAATGCATTGGAAACATTAAGAATAGTGCCAAGCATTGCATAACGTTCTATACCTAATAAGTAAACAAACAAATAAAGAAAGAATGTGGAAATAAGAGAAATTACCACACATTACCTTGGGTCTCTGTATTCCCATTAAGGTGTTGCCTCATCCTTTAGGTCAAAACATTTTTCTCTATTTCTGAATAGGCCTTTAAGAGGCCTAGTTTCCCCTCAGTAATATGCTGGCTATACCATATACTCAGACTTTTTTTTTTTCTGGCAATTTTGGAAGTAGTAGCATTCATTAAACAGCAGGGCCCAAACCATGAGTATTCCCTCTGAACTTGGGAATCCCTAAGCTCCACATCCACAGCTGATGGAATTGATTCCACTTGAGAATCCTATGAAGGTATACTAGAGGTGGGCTGCAATATGACATTTCACCAGTAGATGCTGCTGTTGCACACTGGTTGACGAATTTGGCTACCTAAAGTTCACACATCACTAGTTACCTTGGAGGTACCCTAGGGATCCCAGGAGTCCTCTCTTTGTTTTAAAGAGACGATATACTAGAGGAAAAAAGTTTCACTAATTTTCCGATAGTAAAAATATTTTAAATCCAATTATGAAGGTGGTAGTTATAGTTACACTCCTAAAAAATATTTTTATAAAATTAAATACATATCGTTACAGAGAATTAAATCAAAGTTATTGGATCTACATACAAAGAAAAGAGTGTCACACATTTAGTGCTAAAAGTGCATCTACAGCTTTCTCCTTTTATTGTTTCTAAAGTTATAAGAAATGGAAAATGTTTAAATAGTCTGCTTTTCAGTTTAGAAAGGCCATTTCTTGGAGGAGCCATACTGATTGCTGTGTTGCTTTTGCCCTAGAACTGACCCCTCTTCCCTTTTCCATACTGCAGCAGAACCCACAAGGCAACCGACAACCAAACGGAGAAAAAGGAAAAATTCCACCAGCAGCACCTCCAACAGCAGTGCTGGGAACAACGCAAACAGCACTGGCAGCAAGAAGAAGACCACGGCCGCAAACCTGAGTCTGTCCAGTCAGGTACCTGTAAGTCTCGCTTTCCTCTTAGGCCTGAAATCCTAACTGCCTGCTTCCTACTCCAAGGGCCCAAATTTAAGTCTCTTTTCAGTGGGAAAAAAAAAAAAATTCTGGGCAGGTTGGAGGTGGGAGAGGGAGGAAAGGCAGGAACAGAGGTTGGGGTGGGAGGGAGGAACTCTGCCATGGAAACCTTCCCCCGCAAACTGGGAATTAGAAAGGAATATTAAGAGTGGTGCTGCAGTGGGACCTGAATTAAAAAGCCATCAGAGTCAAGACAGGAGATATGTCACTTTAGGTTTAATTAAAATATCACTTAGAAGCATGCCTGGTGGCATATTAGGGCCTCTTAGCACCATCAATGGAGACCCTGTGCTCCACTGGAAACTAGCTCCCAGCGGCTCAGTCCCATATTGTAATCTGACTGGGCCTTCCCAACATGGGCGTCCACTCTTATTTTAAGTCTCAGGTAATTAACCGGCAGCCACTGAAAATGCAGCTCAGTGAAGCTCACACTTAGCCCATTTCATTAGCTAAGGGGGAGGGAGGATCAGCCTCTAGTTTGGTCTCAACTCTCTTGATCCCTTGGCCCCTTTCTTTCATTTCTTGATCTTGACAAAGGCCATTAGGAAGGGGACTTATTTGAATTCCAAAGCTGACAGCTGAGGGTAGTCCCATATAGTGAAAACTGCACAGGAACTTTCTGCATTTCCTGTTCATTCTTCTTGAACTCTGTCCCTTCTGCCTAATTCCCTCTCATCTCCTAACTCCCCAGCCCCTTATTAGAATATCTCCTTAAGTCCTTAGCTCCTTTAAACTGCTGCTGTTCCTTCTCTACTGTCCCGTCATATCACCCTGTCATCAGCTGTTTGGCCGTCATTCAAATCCTGAGATTTTCTTAGTGCTTTGTGGATGCCTTCTAGATACCCTGTTTCCAAAGTTGCCCTGTTTCTTGTTATATCCCTCAGCCAGTACAGTTTTACCTTTTCCATCTTTCCCATGTTTTCCCCCCTCACCCTTCTTCTCTGATCCTAACCTTTCTTGTTCTTATCCTGCTCCATCGCTTCCTGTGGAGTGAACCTTCACACGGGGATTCCCACTTACTTTCAAGTGTGTCTTTCAAATCTTCCCCCACCCACTTGTACCCACTTTCCACTGGCCAGTTCTCTTTGGCCAAAAGCAACCCCATCAGTACCCTGAGGATTTCTTGGGCCATTGAGTCTTTTCTCCCATCTCCCACAGACAGAGGGTATAGTTTTCATTCCCATTGCATTAGAAAGAAGGGGTCATGGAGAGAATGACCAGCCTAAAATCAAAGGTGCTATGTTACATTTTACAAAGATACAAATTATAGTCTTCAAATAATGAAAATAGTCCCCAGGTGGTCCTCCACTTTCTGAGTTAGGCTTTACACCTATTACCTCTAAAGATCATGGGGAAAAGTTAAAAGAGAAAAAGTAGTCTATTAAAGTACCAAGTTATGCCCATTCCTGGTGAAATTTTGGATAGAGGGAATGGCCTGATTTAGATAAATCAACTGAAAAAATGTACACAGGAGCCCATTTATTTATCCAATCCTGGAGTTAAAGGCAGTAACATTCATTAGTTTCCTCTAGCAAATAAGGAAAAGTGCATTTCAGAGGATTCTGGAATGGTGACATAGCTACTTAAAGGCACTGTAGCTGCAAGAATCCCAATCAATTCAACAGATGTTTCCTGAGCTCCTACTATTTGCCCACACTGTGACAGGTACCAGCAATACCAAAGTGAAAAATTAACAACAACAGAAGAGCTCACTGTTTAGGGATGGTAAGGGTGGTTTCTCTCTCCTGCCAGTCCTCAGAATATGGTATTGAGGAGGATTCTAAGATCTAGGCTGGGTTTGGTGGGCCATCCATTAGTGATGTCTGCCATGGTTGTAGAAGTGGAGAGTAGCAGCTTACATGTCAGATATTTTGACACACGTGGTCTAGTCAGAATCCTTTCAATTTCATTTGAGAGAGGATGTACTTTTGTACTCTATTATGCTTCTGTCCTCCAAATCAACAACTGTATTTTACTGGATGATACCTGTATCCAGAGGGTTTTTAACGAGTTGATACCCTTTGGATTTTGTGTGAGCAAGAGCAAGGCACCATTAGAAAGTAAAAGTTGAATTTCAGTACTATCTCCACACCATGCAGTTAAAGATGTTTTAATAAAGTAAAATTGTCAGATGTCACAGAAAGGGAAAAAAGCAGATTAGGAAAATGTACAAATTAATTTGTGTCTTGGAGCTGAATGGACATTAAATGATAAGCATTGGATGACTTGTGGTGACCACATCTTTTAACCCTGTCTACTGAGTTATCAACACTATTCCACTGGTTAACTAGAAATGCTACCTGCAGGCATCCACTGTCTGGTCCAAAGGCGTGTGCCACTAGGACCACAGCCGTGGTCTGTGTAGCTGCCACGGCAGCAATGTGTGTGTCTGGAGAGGGCTAGTGTTTAATCCTTGGATTCTGCTTCTCACTCCATGAGCAGGGGCTAGGAGCGATCCCGAACTGCAGCCTCAACCCTGGGAGGGATGGAGACCTGTGTCATTCAACAGCAGTGACCCCTTCTGGCCAATTTAAGGAGAAGCATTGAGGGGCCCTGAAAGGAGTCACTTCCAGTCCTCCTCAGAGGTTGGTGGTCTTTGCACGGGGGATTAGTGAGAAGATGTGAAATGGGAGAGCTGGTGGCACCTCTGGGCTTCCAGCGAGGAGCAGAAGTTGGCCTTGTGGGGAGCTGAGGGCATATGGACCTCTCTCAGATGAATCACTGTTGCCTCTCGTGGGACACAGGATAGAAATGGGAAGGAAATGTACTCTCACTGCCAATGTTGGGGGGATTTTTAACAAAATGGGAGTGAAAATGCTGATAACAACCCCTAATTAGAGGCAGCCTGTAATGTGCATCATGTTTTATTTTGTGTGAGAATAACAAATCAAGACTGCCAGAGCAGATAATCACTATCCCAGCCTAGAGGTTTAGAAGAACCAAGAGAAGCGTGCACATAAATTTATAAGTGGCCTTAACTGTCTATGTGCATATGAAGCCCTTAACTTGCCATTTGTCAATTATGTGTGCACACATGCACGTGCACACGCATGCACACAAACACACACACACACACACACACGACTATGTATTGAGCTAGGGTTATTTTTTATAATTAGTAAAACATATGTTAGTATGTTTAAAAACACCTATGCCTAGACATCTTTTCCAGCTGCTCCTAGAACAAAGATTCACCAAACAGATTACCAGCCTGTCAGCTCCATTCGAAATGATTCAAACCACTATGTTCATGGTACTTTTCTTGAATGACTGTTGTTTTCTAATTCAATGAATGCACCTGGAGTGTTGGGAGCTTCTCTTTTAATATCATGCTTAATTTAAGTTGGCTGCTTTTTATTTTTCTCCTTCTCTTTCAAATTATGCTTCCTCATACTCTCCCATCCTCTCTCAATGACTTTGGAGTCACAGTACTAATGCAGACCCACATGGTTGGTTCTAACATCTTTCTCCTGCCCTGCGACGCCTTACGCATGTGTTTTCCAAGCCCTTCGAGTGTGCTGGACACGAGTCATGAAATGAGATTAACCCTCATGTCATGCTCTGTACAATCTAGCCCTATTCTTTCCATCTCCCTTTGTTCTTGATCATAAGTGTCATCTCCTAACTGCCTGTAACTCAGTGGCATTCTTTCATCCTGAACACCCCCAACGGGTAATATTGCAGCTGCCCGGCTAACTGAATACCATTCATATCTCTGCAGTGGCCACGCTGCATCTAAAACCCTTCATCCTTCCTGCCAGCCAGAAGGACGTTATCTACTTTGCCTCTCACCTTAACAGTCCTCAAGAGTCTCCCTCCATGTCGTTGTCATTTGTGGTCCTTCATTACCTAATAAATATCTTCTTGGAGGCACCCAGCTGAATACCCCCCAGCATTTTTATTGCTGGGTTTACCAAGTTCACTTTTTAGGCATTTACTCCATTTGAGACATTTCTTTGTAAAACCATTTTTATCCATTCACAAGAGTGATTAGTCAGAAAACAAAGTTTGGAACCCTATTGATTATATCCCCTAACTCAAGGGTGGTGGGGAGCAGAGGTAAATAAAACAAGGTTTGCCATTTTAAAAGACTAGGCGGAAACTAAGGGATTTGTTCAAGGGGTACTTTATTTAGAGATCCCATGGCCCTTTTCCTGACTGTAGGCAGTATTCCAGTCTACTGTCCCAGGAAAGCCTTCTCTGGGCAAAGCTCTAGTCAAAAGAAATTTTACCCAGTTGTTGAAACATTTTATTGAATTAGCCTTTCTGCTGGAAACCCCATCCTCTCATCTCCAGAAGCATCTGGCTAGCCCTACTTTCTCTGGCCTCAGTGGAGGCTGATCACAGTTGGTCACTTTCCTGAAGTTACTGTACTTCTAAGTGGAGTATTGCTCAGAGCCTGCCCAGAAGAATCCACCTGACAGATGTCCTGTCTCATGCCAAGGTCACTCATCAACCCCATATGGTATCCTCTGAACAAAGAAGCTGAAGCTCTGCCCTGTGTGTGCATTCTTCTTCCCCGTCCCTGGGCCTCTCCAGCTGTGGCCTCCCAATGCTCCCAGCTACCATAGGTGGCTTACTTATTTGCATGGAAGGACAATTTGTACTTAAAGGAGTGATTAGATGGATTCTTCTTGCATGCCTCCATCTCTGATGACTACCAGCTTCATCAATGTAATTATAATTAGCATTCTTCATCTTCCTTTTATGGCACCAGCTGGACAGACTGGTTCTCTTTACTGCCCAGATGGGTGGCAGGGTTGCCTGTGTGGTGATAGGTGACAGGCACCATAAAATAACAGATGGTAAATTCAGGGCTTGTTGGCAATCAGCAGGTTTTTGCTAATGACTTAATTAGCTATGCAAATTGTCAAATCAGCGTGAACATTGTTTTTATCGAAAACTTTACCTAAATTAATTACCATAATTAAGTAGCAGAATGTCAAGAATATTGGCTGCATAAAAGGGCCTGTCTGAGTAGAGAAAAGAGAGATTCTGTCTTCAATTAAAATGTATATCATCCCTGGGACACAGAAAATACCGTTTGGAATGAGTTGTGTGAATATTACAGGATTGCACCTTACGTGTGTCTCTGGTCACTGCTAGTTTCCAAAGCCACTCAAAGGCCCTAAATAAAGGTGGCAGATTTTTGGAGGTATTGAGAAGCACCCAGCAGAAGGTTCCACAGCCCTCTCCAAAGTCCCCAATGTCGGCAAGTTGAAAGCATGGATTTTTTTAATTTTGAAAAATACATTTTTTTATTTCTGCAGATTGCTAGCATTGCTCGTTCTCCAGTGTCAGGCTGCGCACTAAGGACATAAACTCGCGTGGTTGTTACACATCAGGAGGCGATGTTTATTTCCTGTAGAAATCAAATATGCGTCTCGGCCCCCGACATTGAGACTTGACCCCGTTGTACAGTACACGAGTGTGTCTGTCCTAGGTTCCCCGACTCCTCCCACTGTTATTTTAAGCTGAGCTTCTCTCTCCCAAGGTTTCCCTGTAATAATGTCAGCTGCTGTTCACAGGATGTGATGGTGGTAGGAGAGCCAACTCTGATGGGAGGTGAGTTTGGGGACGAGGACGAAAGGCTAATCACTAGATTAGAAAACACGCAATATGATGCGGCCAACGGCATGGACGACGAGGAGGACTTCAACAATTCACCCGCGCTGGGGAACAACAGCCCGTGGAACAGTAAACCTCCCGCCACTCAAGAGACCAAATCAGAAAACCCCCCACCCCAGGCTTCCCAATAAGATGATCGGCACCAGAATCCACTTTCAATAGGCCCGTGGGTGATCATTACAATGGCAGATCTTTACTTACAGGAGAGGAAAGAGAAGAGATACAAACTTTTCCATGCAAATGTCTATTTCTAAACCACAGTGATCTGATTTCCTTTCTTTTTTTCTAATTGAGAGGATTATTCCAAATAAGCTTCCATGACCCTTCCTTGGAGGCCTTCGCAGGTAAATACAGATACTGGCACTGATTGTAATTAAAATGAGAGAAAACTAGCGCATCTTCTGGCACGGTTTTAACAACGTGTTTGTGTTGAATTTCCTTTTTATTCATCAAACGAAGGCCATATTGTCCATAAATGCTCAGTGCTCAGGATCTCATTAATATGCCGAACCTAACTACAGATGACTTTTTAATATTGTAAGATATTTTCTGCTTTTTGACTTGCATCTGAGAGTTTCTTGTTTCAGTAAAAAAAGAAAAGACAAAAAAATCAGCTTTGGAAAGTAATTTAAATGTACTTTTATTTTTTCTTCTTTATGTTTTCTTTCATTGGGCAACAGCTAAGAGGGCCCAGTAAGGTAATTTATGGTCGAGTTCATGTCAATTGGTTCTTGAGTCGACCCAATTTAGACCAAGTGCTGAAACAAGAAATGTCATTTTTTTCATCAAAGACACCAGGGCAGATTTTTAAGTAAAGAAAGACAATTGGACCCTTAAGAATTCATGCATTTGTAAAGTTGCTGTTGATCCAAATATTTTCAAGCCATGTAATCCATTGATTTTGTGGGCAATTTAATAAACCTGAAACTTTTTGTGTGTTTTTTGATTGTACCTGAGTTGACCATTCTTTCTTTTTATAGTATATTTCTTGTATGATATTTTGTAAAGCTCTCACCTGGTTCTTTTATGGGGACTTTTCATTTTTGGGCTACTCCAGTGTATTTATGTGAAACTTTATAAGATAATTAATTTTTCCATTTACATATTAATATGCTCCTCCACACATGTAAAGACACAGTGGCTCCGTGTGTTAAAAACAGCTGTATTTTATGTATGCTTTACTGATAAGTGTGCCAATAATAAACTGTGTTAATGACCAAAGCAAGTGAATCTGGCTATTTGTGTGAATGCGTGTGTAGCAATCTGCTCACAATTATGAGAAGTATTGTGCTTAGATTCATGGTCCAGACTCCAAATGAAGTGGAACCATAAAGCTTGTGTGAAGTAAGTTCACTGTGTACTGGTTACCAACTTGTTTGAGTCCAGTGAGCCAGAACACACTCATGTGAAACAAATTACATGGAGCAGGTTTATTACTTACAGACAGGCACAAGAAACAACAGAAGCCTAGAAGTCATGGGACCATTCATTGCACCACAGCTGAGAGACCCTGGAAAGCAGCTGGACCTGGGTTTTATACCCTGGGGTCCTGTGACATGCTGGACTAAAGCACTGAAGGGCATCCTGTTTCTATGAGGGGATGGCTTGGGACCAGAGCTCAGGCTGTTTCAGCCAGTCACCCCTTAACTCAGGGTGTTTCATTCCCAGCTCATGCTATAATTATTCTTGAGAACTAAGAGCAGGAAAAAGGAGAGAATTGGGTCAATTCAAGGCTACCAAAGAACTGTCCTGCAACCTGTGCCATCTTTTATGAAGCACTATTCTTTCCTTGCTCACTGAAGCTTCTTGAGCAAACACAGGAATGCCTTCTCTGTGCTGAGCCCTGTGCTAGCCAAGGGTAAAACACGAAAAGATAGACTCGATAGTGTTCTTGGCGGTTGTAGTCAAGCGGAAAAACAGTACCTTCCAGTGACTGAGTGTTTGCTCCACACTAAAAAAAACTCTACTTAAGGCTCATTATTTTAGTTAATCCTCAGGATAACTGCATAGCGTAAGCACAATTATTACCATTTTAAAAATCAATGTCTCACTCGCCTATTTTTCTATACAGAGTAAGGAAAATTCACTGGAGGATCTTTTATGTTTCAAGGACATTACTCATATTTTCGCTTTACACTAATGATAAAGATGAGAGAGGAAATCTGTTACTATTTATTAAGTGTCAGGCAATTTCAGTTTATCATCTCAGTGAATTCTAGGAAGGGGATTTGAAAAGGGGAAGCTAAGGAAAGGGTAAATATCTTAGGTTGAGATCTCTAGAAGCAGAGCCTAAAACTGGGATTCAGGGACATGAGGTTTATTAAGGGAATGTTGTACAGAAATACACACACACACACACACACACACATTTAAAAGAGTGGGAGAAGCACACATACACGCACACATATTTAAAAGAGTGGGAGAAGCAGGATAGGAAAGGAAAAAGAACTAAGAAAAGCCATGGGCTCCACAGTCTGCTTCCTGGGCCTGATCCACAACGGGAGGGCTTTGTAGACCTCACTGAAGGGTTATTCCTTCTTGTGCTGCAGCCCACCCTTTGGCACCTGTATCAGTCCTTCAATGCTTGGGAGCCATCCTCGTAATGTATGAGGGGTTTGTGACCTTCAGAGCAAGATGGCTTTATCAACCTAGGGCCATTCTGCAGAGAAGAGACCAACTAGATGCAACAGTAACAGTATCTTGGGACAGGTGTTCTGACTTCATAAAGGACATCTATGTGAGCACAAATTTATTGACTCCATTAAGTAAGTTGTCCCTGGTCTGCTACATCAGGAATGCCACAGTTGGGATTTTAATCTGGATCTCTCTTGACCACAAAACCTGGTTTGGTTTGGTTTTCTTCTGGAATATCGCATTGCCTTCCGAGAACATTCTTACTTTTTAAAACGTGTGGTGTAATAGCAACAGAACTATGAAAATATAGGGAAACAGCTACTTTATTGCTTTCCCACATGTGTATTTTAAAGATAACTTCCAGTGCATCCCTCAGTCCCACCTCAACATTTTAGGTTTTTAAAAATCAATTCTTTAAAGTCATTTGTATATACAATCTGTCTTAGTTCATTTTCTGTTATATCAGAATACCAGAGACTAATTTATAAATAAAATAAGTTTATTTAGCTCATAGTTCTGGAGGCTGGGAAGTCCAGTTTCATAACATTAGTATTTGGTGAGGGTCTTCTTGCTGCATTATGACATGGCAGAGGGCATCAAATGACAAGATGGCATCACATGGCAAGAAGGCATTACATGGCAAAAGGGTAAAAGCTTGCCAGCTCAAATCAGCTTTTCTCTTCTTATAAAGCCACCGGTTTCAACATAGGAGCCCCACTCTTTCGACCTTATTTACTACTATTTACTTCCCAATGACCCCACCTGAAGGTACCATCAACACATAAACTTGGGAATTAAGTTTTCTATACATGAAATTTAGGGGACACATTCAAACTATTGTACAACCATTATGGATGATGCATAGAACAATTCATTTAACACATATTCCTGTTATTTGTTGTTGCATAGCATAACAATCCAAAAACTTATTAACTCAACAGAACACTTTATTATTATTAGCTACCCTTCTGAGAGTTCACTGCTCTTTGTCAGGTGATTTATACCTTAGAGTGTCAGATGCCAGCTGGGGGAGAGGTCATCAGAGGCTAGACTAAGATGGACATTGTAGATGGTGCCCTCACTATGATAGCTGTTGGGTAGGAGCCTAACCAGTGATGTTCACTGAAGTGCATTTTGATAGCTTCTCTATGAGGTTCTCATAGAATAATGATTGGATTCTAAGAGGGGGTGTTACAAGAGACAGCATCCCAAAACACGGAATAAAAATTGCCAGTGCCTAGAACTGTCACTGAGGCACTTCCTCTGTGTGCTATCCACCACAGCAGCCACAAGCTAGCCCAGATTCAAGGCACTTAAGGACAGACTACACTTGTGATGGGTAAATGGCATATGCATACCAGGAGGGAAGAAATTGCTAGCTGTCATCTTTGGGGGAAAAAAAAAAACATCTACAACAGCCAAGGCAATTTACAACCTGGCCTCAGCTTACCTTACAGTTTTATCTTTATTCCCACCCCACTTAAACCTGATTTACTCTCTACCCTAGATTCTTGTTTTCTGAATACACCAAATGTTTATGCCTCGTGTGTCTGAATATTTGTACTCTTAGAATGCCATTTTCCACCTTCTTATGTAACCAAAGCTGCTCATCTTTAAAAACTCTGCTTGATTCTCATGTCCTCAGAGACTTTTCCCCACCTCTAGTTACGGTTGATTACCCCCTCTGGGGTCAGCGGCTGATTCTTCCTTCATGCCAGCACTTCCTTTCAGGTTTCTGTTGTTGTTGAATACCCTTCACTGTTCCATTAGACTTCTTTAGCTCTGAGAAGTTTAATGATTGTAATCTGTATTCTTAATATCTAACCTCTATCACACATGTTGGGGGGATTGAATTAGTGAAAAAAATCCCAAGCAAGAAATCATGAAGCCACTGTTTACCATTGTATTTGTCCATTCTCACACTGTTATAAAGACATACTCAAGACTGGGAAATTTATGAAGGAAAGAGGTCTAATTGATTCATAGTTCCTCATGGCTGTGGAGGCCTCAGGAAATTTACAATCACTGTGGAAGGTGAGAGAGAAACAAAAGCATGACTTATATGGTGGCAGACAAGAGAGAGTGAGTGAGCAAAGGGGGAAGAACTCCTTATAAAACCATCAGATCTTGTGAGAGCTCACTCACTATCACAAGAACAGCATGAAGGAAATCCACCTGGCCCTGCCATCACCACATGGGAATTATGGGAGCTACAATTCGATATGAGAGCTGAGTGGCGACACAGAGCCAAAACACTTTGCCCCTGCCCCACCCCCACAAATCACGTGTCTTTTCACAGTTCAAAACCAATCATGCCTTCCCAACAGTTCCCCAAAGTGTTAACTCATTTCAGCATTAACTCAAAAGTCCATAGTTCAAAGTCTCATATGAGACAAGTCCCTTCCACCTAGGAGCCTGTAAAATCAAAAGCAAGTTAGTTACTTCCAAGATATAATAGGGATACAGGCATTGGGTAAATACACCCATTCCAAATGGGAGGAATTAGACAAAACAAAGGGGCTGCAGGCCCCATACAAATCCAAAATCCAATAGGGCAGTCATTAAACCTTAACATTCCAAAATGGTCTCCTTTGACTCCACGTCTCACATCCAGGTCTTGCTGATGCAAGAGGTAGGCTCCCATGGCTTTGTGCAGCTCTACCCATGTGGGTTTCCAGGGTCCCGCCCCTCTCCCAGCTGCCTTCACAGCTGGTGTTGAGTGTCTGGGGCTTTTCCAGGTGCATGGAGGAAGCTGTCAGTGGATCTACCATTCTGGGGTCTGGAGGACAGTGGCTCTCTTTTCACAGTTCCAGTAGGTGGTGCCCCAGTGAGGACTCTGTGAGGGGGCTCTGGCCCCACATTTTCTTTCTGCACTTCCCTAGCAGAGGTTCTCCATGAAGACTCCACCCCTGCAGCAAACTTCTGCCTGGCCGGACATCCTCTAACATCTAGACAGAGGTTTCCAAACCTTATTCTTGACTTCTGTGCACCTGCAAGCCTAACACCCATATAAGACACCATAGTTTGGGGCTTGCACCCTCTGAAGCAACTGCCTGATCCATACAGTGGCCCCTTTTAGCTGCAGCTAGGACACAAGGCACCAAGTCCTGAGACGGCACAAAATAGCAAGGCCCTGGGCCCAGCCCACAGAATGATTTCTTCCTCTGCGCCTCTGGGCCTGGGATGGAAGGGGCTGCCATGAAGCCTTCTGACTTGCACTGCAGACATTTTCCCCATTGTCTTGCTGATTAATATTTGGCTTTTTGTTACTTCTGCAAATTTCTACGGCTGTCTTGAATTTCACCTCAGAAAATGGGATTTTCTTTTTTATTGCATTAGCGGGCTGCAAATTTTCCAAACTTGTATTCTCTTCTTTCCTTTTAAGCATAAGTTTCAACTCAAAACCATCTTTTTGTGAATGCATAAAACCAAATGCTTTTTAAAGCACCCAAGTCACCTTTTGAATGGTTTGCTGCTCAGAAATTTCTTCTGCAAGATACCCTAAATCATCTCCCTCAAGTTCAAAGTTCATACATTGTCCTAGTAGGTTCCAAGCACTCTTTATGAAACAGCTTAGGGGTA